TGCTTTAAGGTGGGGATTCGCCAAGTGACAAATGGGCAGAGCCAGGAAGGCTCTCAGAGGCCAGGCACGGTGGCTCACGTCCGTAAGCCCAGCACTTTGGGAGGCCAAAGCGGGAGGACTGCTTGAGCCCAGGAGTTTGAGAGCAGCCTGGGCAACACAGCGAGAGCCCATCTCAAAACTTCAAATTAAAAAAAATAAAAAGGCTCTCAGACACCATCAAATGTAAGACCCTATTTTATAGCTACAGAAACTATAGCCTAGAGATAGTGGCTTCCTAGCTCAGAATCAACTCCAAAACCTGGTCTCTTGGCTTTGAGGGAGTCTCAGGGATAGATCCCCTCAATCAAGACAAGTGGCTTCTCCTTGATCAGAAAGAGGAAGGGTGAGGTGGGGGTACCTGAAGGCCGGCACAGATGCCCAGCTTGGGGAGGGCCCCACGGAAGCCAAACTGTGTGAGGAGAAGAAACAGTAACCCAGGGGCGAAGAGTAGCACATTCATCTTCACAGAGACTGCCAGGCTGGGGTGAGCAGGGGAGAGGAAGGGTGGAGATCAGCTCCAGGGCCGGGCACATCAGAGCCAAAGACACACATCCCACCATCAGCACAGCAGCCTCCCCCTGCCACCGCGCCGGCAAACTCCAGGATGGGGCCTACACTCACAACTGCTACAGGGAGGGGCCTGCAGTGGGCAGGGGGCAGATATGTAGTCTCTATGCCTGGGCTGAGTGAGCATGCACTGAGCATTTAGAACGTGAAGGACTAATTCCAACAATGAGTGCTGTCTGGAAGACAGGATGGAAAGAGGCACGTGTGTGTGTGTTGAGGGAGCAGGGATGGCAGGGCAGAAGCTTTCTATAGATCCTGGACTTGCTTTACGGAGCCCTGAGGGACCCATGCTGCCTGGCTACTCCTTTACTCCCTCTGCTGCAGGAAACTGGGAAGGGATGGCAATGCAGATGCGAAAGAGGGGGCCAGAAGGAAGAGGTGTTGACCTGAAACAGCAGCAGCCCCAGCCCCAGCGCTGGGCCAGCAGGAGGTTGATACTGAGGAAGAGCAGCACCATGGCCACTGGGTCATTGAAGAGCCGCAGCACAAAGATGGAGTGGACACGGTAAGAGGCACAGCACATGAAGAAAAAGACGAAGGGAGGAACCTGAAGGGTAAACACAGTAAGGAGCAAGGTCAGCTCAGCAAGCCTGAGCCATCCCCACCACCTAGCCCTCCCAGGCTGGGGCCCTCTGGTGGCATGACTCACCTTGCAGGTCTGGTGATAGATCAAGAAGACAAGCAGCAAGGTGGCCAGGTAGAGCACAGCAAAGATGTTCTGGGCCATGCGGATGTCAGTGCCTCGGCCAGTGGCATAGTATAGCCCCATAAAGATGTACACGAAACCAGCTGGGTACCTGGAAGATGAGAAGAAATGTGAGCCTGGGTCACACCACCCAGGCTAGTGCCTCGCCAGCCCCTCACATCCTCCCCGAAGTTCCTATCCCCACTCACACAAGTGGTCCAGTGTCACCCCGCAGTTGGGTATAGTCATAGGTTCCATTGATGACGCCCTCTACCTGCGCCATGTAGGCCTTCCAGTCAATCTCTGTGTCTGGAAGAAGACAAAATCATCTGGTTACTTCTGAGTCTAGAACTGTCTGCCACCCTCCCCATGCCTCCAGACCATCAAAACACAGACTTTCGGCCAATCCTCAGAGCTTCACTACCGCTGAATCTCTTTCTTTGACATTATCTGGGTGGGCCCAGGCATCTCCTCATTTCTATAAGGGAACTTGCGATCTTTCCTCACTCCGATCTACTCCTTCCTGGGTTCCACAAATGGCACCACGCTCTTAGCTACCAGGTCATGAACCTGAGTAACATCTTTGATACTCCCGCCTCTCTCATTTCCAACCCTTAGTCAACACGTTCTGCCTGTTCTTCACCCTAAATATCTCTATCTCATTCTTCGCTGCTACTACATACTCAGACTTGAGCATAAAGTAATCTCCAGCCTCAATGATTCTACAATAGCCTGCTAATTAGACTCCTGCCTTTACTTTCACCTTACTATAATATATTTTCCACCTTGCACCAAAGAGCTCTTCCCAAAATACAAATCAGGCTCTTTTCCACCTTGCACCAAAGAGCTCTTCCCAAAATACAAATAAGGCCTCTGCTTAAAACCTTTTGATGATTTCCCAAGACCCTTAAGAGACAGAAAACTCTATATTATTCCCATTTTTAGAAGGAGAGCCTAAGAATTAATTAGGTTAAATGACTAGCTTAAGATAACTGAGCTAGGATGGTAAGAGTTGGGATTGAAACCCTCAGGGTCCCAAGTTCTTAATTATCATGCTATCTTCTTTTCATTTTTTTTCTTTCACTTTCTTGAGACGGAGTTTCACTCTTGTTGCCCAGGCTGGAGTGCAATGGTGTGAACTTGACTCACCACAACCTACAGGTTCAATTGATTATCCTGCCTCAGCCTCCCAAATAGCTGGATTACACGAATGAGCCACCATGCCCAGCTAATTTTGTATTCTTAATAGAGATGGTTCTCCATGTTGGTCAGGCTGGTCTGGAACTCCTGACCTGAAGTGATCCATCCACCTCAGCCTTCCAAAATGCTGGGATTATAGACATGAGCCACTGCGCTTGGCCTATCATGCTATCTTCTTAACAAAGCTTTCAAATCCCTTCATGTTCTGGCCTCAATATCTGCATTCCCATCTTTTACTATTCTCTTCACCTGATTTCTACCTTCTAGCTCTAAGAAAATTATTTCGGTTCCTCAAAGGAACCAGATTCTCTCTCTTTTTTTTTCTTTTTTGAGACAGAGTCTCACTCTGTCACCCAGGCTGGAGTGCAGTCACACAATCTCAGCTCACTGCAACCTGCCTCCTCAGTTCACGTGATTCTCCTGCTTCAGCCTCCCAAGTAGCTGGTACTGCGGGTGTGCCACCACACCCAGCTAATTTTTGTATTTTTGGTAGAGACAAGGTTTCACCATCTTGGCCAGGCTAGTCTTTTTTTTTCTTTTTTTCTTTTTTTTCCTTTTTTGAGACAGAGTCTCACTCAGCTGCCCAGGCTGAAGTGCAGTGACATGATCTCAGCTCACTGCAACCACCATCTCCCGGACCCAAGCGATTCTCCCATCTCTAATTTTCGTATTTTAGGAGAGATGGGGCTTCACCATGTTGGCCAGGCTGGTCTTGAACTCCTGACCTCGTGATCCACCTACCTCGGCCTCCCAAAGTACTGGGATTACAGACATGAGCCACCGTGCCCAGTCTAACTGGAGATTTTTTTTTTTTTCTTGCTTAGAGATTTCTGATCGAGGATCCTCTCTACCCAGAGCACTCCTTCCCCTCACCCTTTCCTTCTTTCCTTAACTAGCTAGTTCCTACCTTCCAAGGGTGGCTCTATGAAACCTTTACTAACTACTGCAACCTGGCTTAAGTGACTTCCTATGCCCTTTAGGGCATCCTGCCTTACTATTACCATGATGAATATGCTGCATCAAAATTGCCTGCTAACTTATTATCCAGGCCCCACTTAGAAATGCATCTCTTACCACTGTACCTTTCTCTGGTAACCAGCATAATGCTAGGCATATAATAGGCACTAAATAACTACTTGTTGAATCAAGAGTCTTTAGCAAGAAAGCCAAGTGCCTTAAGCCTAGTATCTAGTTTCAGCCCGGAAAAGAGTAGCCAATAATGCCTAATGGACTCAAGTGGTCACAAAATGCCATCACTGAGAAGGGACATTCAAAGACCACAGAACTGAACACATGGAAAAAGTTGAGATGCAGGAGGGGACCTGAAGTGTCCAAAGCCACCAGGAAAAGCAGCAGCAGCAGCACAATTTTGGCCAAAATCTGACTTCTAAACTGGTGTGCAGGCTGTAAGCTCAGTGCAGGCCAATCTCTACGTCTCCACCTGTCATGTGGGTGGACTGAGATCCGGTTTTCTGTCGAGCAGGCTTGGCGCTCAGGTAAGGGATATGGATGAATTTAGAACTGATGAGTGAGTGGAGAGAGTCTGGTTTTGAGTTCCAGGTCTGAGATCCGGTTTGGGTCCGGGTTTCAGGTCTCCCTCCCTCCTCTCCTCTCCCCTCCCCTCCCCCTCGGCGCACTCACATGCCACCCTGTGAATGACCCAGAAGGTGATGCCCACCTCCGCCAGGCAGAGGCAGGCGGCCACCAGCAGCGTGTAGCGCGGCTCCCGCAGCAGCAGGCGCCGCTCTTGCCAGGTGCGATACAGCCATTGCCTGCAGAGTCCCGCTGCCTGGGCCGCGGAACCGGACCGGCCGCGCTTCCGCAGCCCAGCCGCCATGTTGACGGTGCGCCGCTTGTGTGGGGCCACCACCCCCGGAAACTCGAACCTTCCACACTTAGGTTCCGCTATCCACGCCGGGCGTTCCACCAGGCTAAGCGCGGAGCCGAGTAGCCAGGCTTCATTTATTCCACTAAAATGTACCTTTCCACATTTATCTCCTCTGATGCACTCCACGCTCCTCCATAGGAGGAGGGACAGTCTTCTTAGTTTATACCCAGCCCTGGGTACACAGGCGCTAATGTAGGAAGAATGTCCAGAAAAGCAACATTCCTGCCTACCTACCTCGAACCCCTCCAGCCAGCATTCTACTTCGCCTGTGTTGGGAACATCGGTGTTCACGCTGTCTCTCCAGAAAGGCAAAGTCCCTGTTCGCTCCCCTCCTCCCTCCCCTTAGAGCCTTCCAGATACTCAAAATTGGCTTGGGAGAAAAAAAGAAACTTTCATTAATTTCGGACTTCTTAATACAAGTCATTCAAATTGAAAATATGAGAGAACGCAGTGATAAGCCCACGTGAGTCTGACACCATGAGTGTGGACCTAGGAAATGAGTGGGCAGTACAGCCGGAGGATTCAGGGGCTGGACAACGGTTTTCCCAGCCGGAGGATTCTTCCAAGAGCGCTTAGGAAAGGACGGAAGTTCCACGTGTTTGTGTTGAGCAACTGCAGATGGTGGGCGGAGACACCACGGCCCCGCCTTCTGCATCCTGCCTTCCGGATTGGCTGACGTACCGGCGGCTCTGGCGGCCCCGCGGCTGAGAGCATGGCCTCTCCGGAGGCAGGTAGGGCGCAGCCCAAGTTACCCGAGCGGAACTGCGGGTACCGAGACGTCCAGTACTGGGATCAGCGCTACCAAGGCGCGGCCGATTCTGCCCCCTACGATTGGTTCGGGGACTTCTCCTCCTTCCGTGCCCTCCTAGAGCCGGAGCTGCGGGCCGAAGACCGTATCCTTGTGCTAGGTGGGTAATCCCGGCGCGGCCCCGCCAGGTGGAGCTGGCAGAACCTGCGCCGCGTGAGCCTGGCCAGGTCCGCTTTTCTCCCGCCTATCTACCCCTCTTAGAGGACGCCCGAGTCGGGATGCGAGATCCAGCTCCTTCAGAGTCCCGGCTGTATTTAGTCAAGGCAAACAGGAGTAAGAGGTTGTCGGTTTCGGTCCCTCAGGGTTTGAGCGTGAGGGGTATCCAAGATCCTGTCCAGACCCTCGGGAGGCCGGCAGCCTTGGGGACCGGTTTGCTCAGAGGACCTAGTTCAAGTCCCAGCGCTGACTTGTGTAACTTAGGACACGTCATGAACCTGTTCGCAGCTTCAGAGGCAGTTCTAGAAATGGGACCGCGAGGTCATGTCGGAGGCGGCACGCGCAGGCACCTCGAGAATGATACCCAGCGCTTTCCTTTCTGCCCCCCGGGCATTGGGACCCGGAGTCACCTAGAGAAAGTTATCGTCTGACTCTCAGCGCCATCTGAAACTTGGTCCTTTGCCTCCTGTGAAGTGAGCGTGAGAACAGCACCCTCTAAAGGTGGAGGGGAGATTGCTGCCCAGGGGGATGCGATTTCCCCAAAGGGAAGACGTGCTGGAGGAAAGTTAGGGCTCCACTTTCCTCTTGGGGTTCTCTCCTACTGTCATCCTTGAAGGCACTAGTGAAGTCTGAATGAGCAACAGCTTTTCTTCCAGTAGTCGTTTTTGCTTTGCTCTTTGTAAAAGCCTTTGTCTGTTTAGGTGAAGTTTTGAATAAATATAAAAGGTATATGTAATATATATGTAAGGGACTAAATAACAAATCTAATCTGTGTGTCTTTTCAACTCAGTTTGAGGAATAGAACATTACTAGGGATAGAAAGAAAGTATAATTTAGTGGTTAAGAACTTGGACTCTGGGCTGGGCTTATGGTTCACAGTCATAATCCCAGCACTTTGGGAGGCCAAGGTGGAAGGATCACTTGAGCACAGGAGCTCAAGACCAGCCCGGGCAACATAGTGAGATCCCATCTCTGCAAATTTAGGCTGGTGCAGTGGCTCATGCTTGTAGTCCCAACACTTTGGGATACCAAGGCAGGTGGACCATTTGAAGTCAGGAGTTCAAGACCAGCTTGGCCAGCTTGGTGAAAACCCATCTCTACTAAAAATACAAAAATCAGCTGGATGTGGTGGCATGCACCTGTAATTCCAGCTACTCGGGAGGCTGAGGCAGGAGGATCACTTGAGCCTGGGAGGTGGAGGTTGCGATGAGCCAAGATTGCGCCACTGCACTCCAGCCTGAGTGACAGAGACCCTGTCTCAAAATAAAAATAAGAATTAACTAGGTATCGTGGCCTGTGCCTATAGTCCCAGCTACTCGAGAGGCTGAGGCAGGAGGATCATTTGAGCCCAGGAGGTCCAGGCTGCAGTGAGCCGTGATGGCTCCACTGGGCTCCAGCCTGGGTGACAGAGTGAGACCCTGTCTCAAAACAAAGCAAGACAAAAAACTACCTTGAACTTTGGAGGCAGCTAATTATGTTGGAATCTTGGCTCGGCTTATGCTGGCTGTGTAATCCTGGACAAAATACTTGAATTTCTGTGCTCCCATTTTCTCCACCTTAAAAACAAGCATATTTATTAATTAGGCTTCAAGATGATTAAATGAGCATAAAGGATACCTAGAACAATGCCTGGCAAAATGAAAATTATATTCAAGGTTCTCTGTGTGGTCCTCCCAAAATCTCTTCTCCCCACAAGTAAACACTTTCTTGAATCTGTGATTTTAAATCATTGCATTTATTTATAGATTTACCATAGATCTGTTTTTTTCAAGCTTTAGTGTGTATCAAAATTACCTGAAGAGCTAGACCGCACTGTGAGATTCTAATTCCAGGGATGGTCTAATGTAGGTTTCAGCAATCTGTATGTTCAACAAGCTTCACAGCAGATTCTGATGCTGGTGATGGGCAGAGTAACACTGCCTTAAAATCTGCTTGACTGGTTTTTCACCAAACTGATCCTTTAAAAATAAAATTGCTTGACTGAGAACTCTCCTTTTCTGGATAAAATGGGCAAAAAGTCTAAAAATCAAAAGGGGAATATCTAGGCAGAATCCCCAAGGTGTAAGAACAGGACTCCTAACTTGGGGAATAATCTGTGTTACATTCCACCTCAACAAACTTAAGCTGAATGCCTGATAAGAGCCAGAGAATGTGCTGGGTCCTTTCTAACTTACCTAACCCTCATGACAACTCCTTAAGCCAAGTCAAAAATATTAAAATATTAAGAGACTTACTCTGAGTTAGGAGTCTATAAACTTTTTTTGAAAATCCTCAAACAAGTAAATATTTTAGGCTTTGCAGGCGACACAGTTTCCTTTACAGTGACTCGGTTCTGCCATTGTAGTGGAGAAGCAGCTACAGACAATATAAAAGTGAATGAAGGCGGACACGGTGGTTCATGCCTATAATCCCAGCACTTTGGGAGGCCGAGGTGGGTGGATCACCAGAGGTCCAGAGTTCAAGACCGGCCTGGCCAACATGGTACCCCGTCTCTACTAAAAGCACAAAAATTAGCTGGGCGTGGTGGCACACGTCTGTAATCCCAGCTACTGGGGAGGCTGAGGCAGGATAATTGCTTGAACCCAGGAGGCAGAGGTTGCAGTGAACTGAGATCGTGCCACTGTACTCCAGCCTGGGTGACAGAGCGAGACTCTGTCTCAAAAACAAACAAACAAACAAACAAAAAAAAACTCCCAGAGCCTCTGGTCAGAACACCGACAATGTCCACCTCTGTCATGCAGCAAGTAAGTGGTAAAGTAAGGGTGCTTTGTGACACCACACAGATGGGTGTAGGGGGCATTTAGAACTTAAAACTGGCAAAATGCCTACACTGTGAATCATAGCCTAATGGTCATATTGATACAGCTAACGATGGAATGTCACCACTGAAGGCGAGTAGGCCTCTTGAAAACTGGGAGGCAGTTGAACACCGTGGTTGAAGAGCCCTGGCTCTGGAGTGATAGAGGCCTGGGTCCAAATGCTGGCTCTTCCACTGACCATGTGACCTTGAGAAAGTTTCTTATCCACTTTCCTCAATTTTCCCATCTAGAAAATGGGAATGGTAATAATGGTATCTTTTTTGTTTGGTTTGGTTTTGTTGTTTTGTTTTGAGACGGAGTCTTGCTCTTCTGCCCAGGCTGGAGTGCAGTAGTGTGATCTTGGCTCACTGCAACCTCCACCTCCTGGGTTCAAGCGGATTCTCCTGCCTCAGCCTCCCAAGTAAATAGCTGGGATCACAGGTGTCCACCACCACGCCTGGCTGATTTTTGTATTTTTAGCAGAGACGGGGTTTCACCATGTTAGCCAGGCTGGTCTTAAACTTCTGACATCAAGTGATCTTCCCACCTCAGCTTCCCAACGTGCTGGGTTTACAGGCATAAGCCACCACTCCTGGCCAATAGTATTCTTTATATGGCCCTCCTCTGAAAGTAAACTGAAATAATTTTTATAAATGCTTAACATAGTACCTGGTGTTCAATTTTTAGATATTATTATTTTTAATGAAAATGGGAATCAAAGAGGCAGTTTATCCAGGACTGTTCAGAGAACAGAGTACCCTCTTGGAGGACGTGCGTGTCTGATCCCTATGGCTAAAATATCCTCAAAGCAAATGAATGCATGTGGCTGGCTGGCCCCACTTTGCTGTTATTTTACTTCTCTGATTCTCTATGCTTGCTTGACTTCATGCTCTGTAGGAACCTTCTTTTTTAGAGACAGGGTATTGCTCTGTCCCTGTCCCTACAGTGGTGTGATCTTGGCCCACTGCAGCCTCTGGAACTCCTGTGCTTAAGCAATGCTTTGGAATCTTTTGATCGTAATCAAAAATTAATTTGGAATTAATTTGACTTCCAATTTAGATTTCCTGTAAAGAGAAAAGGGGATTCAACTCCAGTGCCCATGATGGCTATATGTCTTGTTGTAAATGAGTAAGTTGGCGTTCTGACTCATATTTCAGTCTCTTGGTGGTGAGTTTGGATCCACACAGCTCTACACCCTCATGTGATGGATTCTAGGATATGGATCATTTCTCCAAGGCTCTACTTCCCTCAGGCCCCACTTTGGAAGGCAGTGGCTTTCTCAAGCCCCTTCTTAATTTCTGGCCCCAACTCTCTGGGTCAACAGAATCAGAGGTCACTGCTTGTAAGTATAACTGCGTCCAGCTTTATTTCCCCTTCATCTTTCGTAAAGTTCTTTTGGAAGATATCATCCTGTACTAAGGGGAACAAAGGAAGGAAATCTGGATTTGTCCACAGTTTGGCAGAACTCTACAGGTATATGAGGTCAGGTGTGGGGGTCATGAAGGGATTGTGGGTCAGTGAACCCAGTGGGATTTCCACCTGGAACTGAGTCAGGGTCTGCTGTATCTGCCAGCCCTTACCCCCATCCCGTATGCTGCATCTGCCAGCCCTTACCCCCATCCCGTATGCTGCATCTGCCAGCCCTTACCCCCATCCCGTATGCTGTATCTGCCAGCCCTTACCCCCATCCCGTATGCTGTATCTGCCAGCCCTTACCCCATCCCGTATGCTGCATCTGCCAGCCCTTACCCCCATCCCATATGCTGCATCTGCCAGCCCTTACCCCCATCCCGTATGCTGCATCTGCCAGCCCTTACCCCCATCCCGTATGCTGCATCTGCCAGCCCTTACCCCCATCCCGTATGCTGCATCTGCCAGCCCTTACCCCCATCTCATATGCTGTATCTGCCAGGGCTTTTTGTGGCTTCAACTTCGGGAAGCATGTATTGGGTTTTCCTAGGCAAGATAGCACTCCTTGAGCCCTAGGGCTTGGAGAGGAACATGGGAAGGGGCAGCTGGGAAGCAGCCAGCTGCCTCTGAGCACACTGTCCAGGTGCTAAACCCTGATAGATTAAGGCTATCCCAACTGCTGATCCTGTGATCCTCTTAGGGAGGCAAATGAGGATTAAAGGAGACCTAATCCCAAGAGTTGAAGATCCCCATCCCATGTAGGGCTGTCAAGAGCTGTCACCCAGCCCCATTCTCAGGCTGGGACTGGCCGTAGGAGGACCTGGAAGAGGCCACTGGATCCTCTAAGGGAGTCACGCCCATTGGACTGTAGATCCACATCCACCCCTCTCACCTCTATCCCTTCTCATCCTGACCCTGCCCGCTTTGGGACTTCTTCCCAGGCACTTCCTACCAGAGTGTTGGGAAGTTGGCAAGACTCTGTTTTTTAAGACTTTGCTTAGTTGTCAGCTCCCCAGAAACTCTTGGCTGAGGTGAGGTCCAGCCCTCCTGTGTGCTCTCACAGCCTGTCCCTATTGAAACACTCATGTTTTGTGACAACTGTCTGATTACACCTTTGTTCTTCCTACTGGCGCATGAGTTCCTTAAGGGCAGAGACTTTTATTCATCAGGAGAGCCTGATATGTAGTGCTCAGTACATACGTTAAGAATTGCGGCGGGTGCGGTGGCTCATGCCTGCAGTTCTAGCACTTTGGGAAGCTGAGGCAGTTGATCACCAGAGGTCAAGACCAGCCTGACCAACATGGTGAAACCCCATCTCTACTAAAAATACAAAAAGTAGCTGGGCATGGTGGCAGGTGGCTGTAATCCTAGCTACTCGGGAGGCTGAGGCAGAGAATTGCTTGAACCCAGGAGGTGGAGGTTGCAGTGAACTGAGATGGCACCACTGCACTCTAGCCTGGGCAACAAGAGCGAAACTACTCAGTCTCAAAAAAAAAAAAAAAAGAAAAAAGAAAAAGAAAAAGAAAGAAAGAAAAAGAAAAGAATTGCAAGGAATTAATCGGCTCCACTGCGTGTCCTCGCCTAGTTCCCCCTTTACCTGTTAATTCTGCCTTGGAAAACAAAGTAGGAGAATAACCCCTAACATGAAGCCTTTCCAGGGCTGATAGCTTCTAAGGTTCTCTAAGAGGTTGGGGATTAGGATAATACTAATTTATATTATTATTATACTACTAATAATATTAAGGTCCTAATGATACCAATATTATTCCCATTTTGAATCTGAGAAAACTGAGGCTCAAAGAGTTGAATGATTTGCCATGGCTGTGTTACTCGAAATATCAGAACCCAGATCTTTGAAGTCCTAACTTTAGAGCTCCTTCAGCCACTCTCCAACTCTTCGTTCTGAAGTTTAATGCATCACATCCTGTATATGGCCTAGGTATTGTTATCTTTATTTTTCCGAATAGGAAATCCGAGTTTTAGCTGGCTGTGGTGGCAGACACCTGTAATCCCAGCTCCTCAGAAGGCTGAGGCAGGAGAATCGCTTGAACCCGGGGGGCGGAGGTTGCAGTGAGCTGAGATTGCGCCACTGCACTCCAGCCTGGGCGAACGAGTGGGACTCCGTCTCAAAAAAAAAAAAAAAAATCCAAGTTTCTAGTATTTAAGCGACTTGTCCCAGCCCACACAGCTGCGAGTGACAGAGCCAGGGTTTGCACCCAGGCCTGTGAGACTCCAAGGCTTGTGCTTTTTCTGCACTCCGACACCTCCTCTCAGTACTGCAGGGTTTGGACTGAGAGGAAATGGGGCCAAGAGTGGATAGAGATTCGGGCGAGGTGAGAACCAAAGCTAACGTAGCTTTTTTGCCACCCATCCCCTCCCACCCAGGTTGCGGGAACAGTGCCCTGAGCTACGAGCTGTTCCTCGGAGGCTTCCCTGACGTGACCAGTGTGGACTACTCATCAGTAGTGGTGGCTGCCATGCAGGCTCGCTATGCCCACGTGCCTCAGCTGCGCTGGGAGACCATGGACGCCAGGCAGCTGGATTTCCCCAGTGCTTCTTTTGACGTGGTGCTTGAGAAGGGCACGCTGGATGCCCTGCTGGCTGGGGAACGTGATCCCTGGACTGTGTCCTCTGAAGGTGTCCGCACTGTGGACCAGGTGTTGAGTGAGGTGAGGGAGCAACGAGAGAGGAAGGCAGATCAAGAGATGGGGCTGCGGGGTCGAGGTTTCAGGGGACTGAAAGAAATCAGAATCGAGAAGCATGTTTTGGAGCAAGTAGTGGGTCCCCTTCAGGAGTGTGGCTCTCTAAAGGAAGGAAAGGGTTAAGCTGGATCAAGATTATAGAGGGGGCTGGAATAGCCAGACTCACAAAGGCTGGTGCGTGGCTACTGGGTTGCCACAGGGATGAGGTAGCAGCCAGGTTCCAGACAGGTGACAGAGATTGCAAAGGTGAGCAGTTATAGGAAAGTGACGCTCCCTACACCTGATAACACTCCTGTACCCCCTCTCTGAATAGAATATAGCCCTAATCCCAAGGAATGGCCAGGGGCAGAGAAAGTGGCTCACTCTGCCATGGAAAGCCTGAGCTACTGATGTGGGGCTGGGAGGGCATCTGGAGCAGTACTGACCTTTGAGAACCTGAAGATCCACTTCTCACTGGGCTTCTCTGTCTGCCTTGCAGGTGAGCCGCGTGCTGGTCCCTGGAGGCCGGTTCATCTCAATGACCCCTGCTGCCCCACACTTTCGGACCAGACACTATGCCCAGGCCTGTTACGGCTGGTCCCTGAGGCATGCTACTTATGGCAGTGGTTTCCACTTCCATCTCTACCTCATGCACAAGGGTGGGGAGCTCAGTGTGGCCCAGCTGGCCCTGGGGGCCCAAATCCTCTCGCCTCCCAGACCTCCCACCTCGCCCTGCTTCCTTCAGGACTCAGATCATGAGGACTTCCTTAGTGCCATTCAGCTATGAGGCTGAAGCATAGTTCTCCACTCTTGTGCCATTCTGCTCTGGGCTCCTCAGGTAGTTGGAATTCCTGACTCAGGACTTGGGGTTGGGTCCAAGGTGCTTACATCCCAGGGGCCTCACGCCTAAGAGAGAGGGTGGGAAGTGAACCCACATGAACCAATACAGCTCAGCTCCAACTAGATCCAAGATCCCAGGTTTCCTCCTTCTTCTTGTGTTCCTCAAATCTCTCCTGGGTTCCCCAATCTTCTCTGCCACCACACCAAACCACCAGTGATGCATCCCCTGGGCAAAGCTCAGCCTACCCCCTCTGCATACCAGCCTAGCCTGGAGATCCTGGAGTCTGTTGCTAATCCTCATCTAGCCTGAGTTTGTCCACAGGAGACTGCAGCCTTTGAACCTAGATTGCTTTATGCTCCATCCCCAACACTGGTGACCAGTCCCGCCTGGGTTGTATCTACACCCAAGGAGGCCACATCATAATGACGTTCCCAGGCCAAGCTGGTCTGCCTGTCTTACTTGGCAACCATCCCTCACCAGCAACATGCATCTGAGATTCCCAAGTACCTGCCCCCCTCCCATTTTGGCCTGGCTCCTGAGACCTAAGCAGTGGCCACACACACACATACACACACACACACACGCACACACACACAGGGAGGTCTGTGTTTATTCACACACTCCTGATACAGTGAGGATGGAGGAACATTTACAAAGGGCACCCCTGGGTTAAGAACATCTTCGGGGCCACAGATGTCATCCAAAGGTGCAGAGCAGTCCCCATTTGGGTTCCCAGGGGCAAGACACAGGGGTCCAAGGTAAAATCGTATCTGGGCCCTTGGAAGGTGATGATACCTTGGGGAGAAGGGGTCTGCCAGAGAGCCTCCTGGGGTCAGGCCTGGGCAGACTGGCCAGTGTGGTTGGTAACCGTGTTGGGGCTTGTCTCACCCCAGCCTCAACACCCATCCTATCTGCCAGGCGCAGAAGAGCGTGGCCGAGACTGAGGGGAGGGCAGGAACCATGAGCAGAGCCAGTAAACAAAGAGTCGGATATAAAAATACAAATGTGCTGAGGAAGTCCCTTAGAAAGAGGCTGAGGCTGGGGTCACGCCAGACAGGGGTGGGAGTGAGGAACGGCCCGGAGGACTGGGCTCAGGTGGGTGGAAAGCTCATGCAAGTACGCAGCCAAACATCCCTGGCCGCGCGAGGTCCGACACGGGCGGCCGCCCGGTCTGCAGACCAGACTGGCCGGAGGGGGGTGGGGCAGGGGAGCCGTGCGGGAGGGGGCGGGCCGGGAGCTGGGGGCCGCGGGTCTCCGTGTCCGTTCCGGTGTGCGGGGTGGGGCTGCGGCCCGAGGTTTTAAAGTGCATGAGCGCGGCGGCGGGTTCCGGGCGGGTCCGCGCCGCCGCTACCGCGGCCGCCGTGGTGCTGAAGCGGACAGCTCCAGAGTGCCAGGCGGCGGCGGCGGCGTGGCCCTGCAGCCCCCGCCCGCGGGCGCCTGGGCCGGGGCGGGGGGCGCCGGCAGCCGCATCGCCGGCCGGCGCTCCTGGCCGCTGCGAGGCTGGGCCCGGAGCCCGCCGCCCGAGCCGGCGCGTCTACACTCCGGACGGCGGCTTCTCCCCCATCCCCTTCAGCACGTCGTCTATCCGGTCATCCTCGATCACCACTGCGCAGGGAGAAAGCGCGTCAGCCGCGCGGCCTCGGGGGGCGGCGGCGAGAATGAGCCCTGCGTCCTAGCGTCCCGCGCAGCTACTGCCCATGGCCCAGCGACGCCCCTCGGAACCCTGTGCCGCGGTGTCCTCCCCGTCCGAACTCTCCTGGAGACCCAGCCCGCCGCCAAGCCTCTGTCCCACGGACCCCTTCTCCTCCCCTCCCGATGGCGAAACGCCCCTCGTCCAAAGGCTCCAGCTATTCCCCCTCCCGGTGCGAGCCCTCCTGCCATCTGAGCCTTCCTCCCTCTGAGCTGATCAGAAACCTCATGGAACCCCCTCTTCAACCCACACTTAAGCAGAACCCCCTCCTCAAGTGGGGTTCACACCGAGTATGCAGCTAGTCCAGCCCCTCCTCAACCCGAGCCCTCTCGCCGCTGGCACCCCTCCTGGCACCAACAGAGCCCCCCTCCCCATGCAAACAACCAAGACAAGCTGGCCCCCGGCCTCCTGCCCTCTCCAGTTAAACGCCCCTCTCGACCCGAAGGTTCTCCGTAGCGTCCACCGACTCAGTATCTGATCCCAAAGAATCAGCCCGTTACCCCGCGTTCCCACTTCCGAGCAGCCCCGAATGCCCCGATAGGCCCCTCCCCCTCGCCCGGGTGCCAGGGCTCTGCTTCCAGAGGTGGCGAGCATCGAATCCGGGGCACCGTGTTCCCGGGAGAAGGGAAGAGGGGGACACACTGCAGCAGCGGGGACGCCCCCCTCTAGCCCGGGCCGGAGAGCGGCTGGTGCGCTGGTCTGCGGCAAGAGCTGCGGGCACTCGGCGGGGAACGGCAGCCGGGGGGCGCCCGGAGGAGGGTTTCTGGGTCAGGCGGCGACTCCGGGCCAGGGCCGCGTACCTCGCTTGGCTCGGCCGATCTGGCCCAGCTTGGGGGGTCGCTTGGCCTGATTGCCCGCGAAGAAGGAGTTGGTGTCCTGCAGGCGGCAGCTGAAGGAGAGGTCGGAGCCCTCGGGGTCTGCGCCGAAGCGGCCCATCTTGTCTTCGCTGTAGGGCAGGATCTCGGACATGGCGGGCGCGGGGTGGGCGCGGGGCGGGAGCGGGACTGCGGCGGGGCGCGGGCGGCGGGCTGGCTGCCGGACCGGCCCTAGCTCAGCAGGGGAGCCGGCGGAAGGATGAAGTCATGCAGCATCCGGGGCTGAGGAGCCAAGCGGGGCCTCCTCCCCCGCGCCTCCGCCTCCCGGGCCGCTGGGCAGGCGGCGGCGGCGGTGGCGGGGACCGGGCGTGGGCGGGGGCGGGGGGCGGGGGCGGCGGCGGCGGCGGCGAGAGCGGAATGACGATGAGCGCCCGACTGCGGCAGAGCACGGCGGGCGGGGCGCGGTGGAGGCGGGGCGGGCACTGGCCAGGGGAAAGAGGCGGGGCCGGGGGCAGGAGCGCGCCTGGTTACCCCAGGAGCTGAGGGAGCAGTAGCCGGAGGTTCCCGCACTGTGGCGGGGAATGGCCGGCACGTGGGTCTTGGGGAATGGTACCAGCCAACCCCGCCGGGACCTCGCGGGGAGAGGCGGTACCGGAGGGGGGTGGGGTCGATCCCGGTACTGGAGGAGCTTGGGGGAGGGTCTGACCCATGGGCTGGGAGAGGCGTGCCAGGGGGACTGGGAACAGGGGGGCAAAAGCTGGCGGGGAGCGTTGGGGCGCGAAGGCGGCCGCAGGGCGTGCAATGGAAAGGCGGGACCCGGGAAACGCGGCGGGAGGAGACTTGGGTACAGGGTGAGTGGGGAAGGCACTAACCCACAGCGCGGGAAGAGCTCGGGCCAGTGGATGGTGCCCTCGCCGTTGGCGCGCTCTGGTGCTAGTTGCTCTGCTGGTCTTAAGTAGATCGTCTGGGTCTGTACGTCTCCGACTGCCCGCCCGTGTCTCCGTCTGCGCCTTCGCATGTGTCAGTCTATCGCCAAGTGTCTGTATCTCTGTCTCTGTGCCCCGTGTCTCTTTCGCTGCGTTGTGGCCTTTGTCTACGCCTGTCCCTTAAGTGTCTTTGCCTTCTGTATCTGTCTCCGTTCTTGGCTCCTGTATCCATGTACCACAGTGTCTCTGTCTCCTGAACCTGGGTGTTTCAGTCTCTCCTAGAAGGGATCTATAGTAACTGGGCCGACACGGCACGCACCAGGGCAGACACCCCCACCCCGCCCCCCGCCAGCCCTAGCCCGGCGGCTGGCGCCGAAATGTGGACTCGAAGCTCCCGCCGTGCCCTGTGGCTCCTCCGGCTCTGGAGGCCCGCGCTGCTCTCGCAGTGTAGGAGGAATGAATGGCGGCGTCGCGGGGGGTGCCCTGGCTGCGGGTGACTCGGGGAAGCTTGGAGCACCTGAGGACGCGGAGAGTGCCGGTGTGTGCCCCAAGGGAGTGCGGGAGGGAGGAGGGTGCCCCCCGCCCTCCTGGCTGGGGACCGCGAGTGAGTTCTCGCCTCACCGACGGGAACACGCCCTCTCCTCCCCTTGCCTCCCGCCCCCACAACCCCTCGCCCTGGCTGGCGGTCCGCCGCGGCGTCACCTGCTTGCCAGCGCGCAGGAGCTCTGGCGCAATCGCTGGCCTTGGGGAGGAGGGGGTGTCTCACATGCGGCGACAGTGACGGCAGCACGGATAAGGGTAATGATCACCCTGTAGGTGCATTCCACACCCCAGGCAGACGCGCTCTCCTTCCTTCATCTGGCCATATCACACAGCCGGTGAGCCTGCCTTGTTGTTAAGTCTCCTTCCAACACTTCCTCGCCAAGTGTTCCTACCGGGACACACGGACAAGCCCAATGGTGGCTGCCCAGGAACTGGATGAGGGGGGCGGTGCCACAGCATGCCTTGGTCCCAGCCTCACTCAAGGCCCCAGGCCTGGGGACCCATCATTATGAAGCCCTCCTCTGCTCTGTCCTAGTCTCTGGGATGAGGGCCACAGCCGGAGGTGGAGGCCCAGCCTGGAGTGAGAGGAGCCCTGAAGCTGGAAGGACAGTAAAGGCGGAAGCTTGGGGTCACTGGAAGAGAGTCTAGAAAATTCCACATCCACTGGAAGTTGTCCAGCAATGGGTTCCCATCCTGATTCCCACTTTCTCAGTGACCTTGAACTGAAGGACCCATAATCATGGTTTTTAAAAGTTGATTCGTTTGTACTTAAAATATTTTAGGAGGCTGGGTGTGGTGGCTTATGCCTATAATCCCAGCTCTTGGGGAAGCCGAGGAAGGTACATCACATGAGGTCAGGAGTTCAAGACCAGCCTGACCAACATGGCGAAACCCGCCTCTACTAAAAATGTAAAAACATTAGCCAAACATGGCACAACCCTGCAGTCCCAGCTGCTTGAAAGGCTGAGGCACAAGAATTGCTTGAACCCAGGGCAGTGAAGGTGGCAGTCAGCAGAGATTTCAATCCAGTCTTCCAGTCTGGGTGACAGAGTGAGACTCCATCTCAAAAAAAAAAAAAAAAAAAAAAAAAAAAAAAAAGGAAGGAAGGAAAGAAAAGAAAGGAAGAAAGAAAAAAAGCTTTAGGAAAAGAAAAT